AAAATCGAAAAACACAAGAAATCTCATATAAATTGATAATATAGGGGTGCTGGTTGTTTTTTTTTTTTTTTTTTAAGATGTGGGGGAACCATACTCATGAGAGTGCATTAATATAATGACTAAGTCAAATAGGTTAGGATAAAGATCAACACAGGATAATGATTTAAGTCAAGACGGAAATGGTTCACCAAATAAAAAGTTAACCTTGATCTCAGTCCCCAGATCTAAATCCAACAGACACATGCGAGTTTAGCTGATGAGAAGAAAGCAAAGGGGAAGACTGGGTCTGCATTAGTAGTGAATATTAAAAAAATTCTCATTTCTTATACTGGGATTCTTTTTCCCACTGAACAAAAGTATGCAAATTGAAGATAAAATCTCTGTTTGAGGTTATAGCACTGCAATTATATATTACTACATTTTAATGTTGCAGTTTTTAATATTAACCATAAATATGGCAAGGCCTGCAAACCAAAGGAAAAGAAACAGTTTTTTTTTTTTTAAAAAAGGAGTCAAATGTAGGCAATAACAGAACAAATAACAGTAAAGCAATAATTTAAGAAAACAATGCGAGCTTCTGTTGCTTTGCTTTCTAAGAAATGAAACACTGGGGAGTGGGTGGACATGAATTTACAGCACTGTGTGTGTGTGTGTGTGTGTGTGTGTGTGTGTCAGCATCAAAATGATGAAATCTTAAACTAAGCTGCATCTCAAGACGGCTCAAACATGCATTTTGGCACTAAAAAATATGTTTTTTAAAAATTCAGCAAGTTAACTGTAATGCCTCCAGAGCAATACTGAATAAAGAAACAATGCTTTGTAACACGTGCATGAATGGCTGTGCTGAGGTAGTGAAAGATTGTTTGCTTACCCCTTGGTTTCCATTAAATCTGATCAATGGCTGTTGTGACAGGACCTGCAACAAAGAAACAGAAATTAGTTTAGGTTTTATTTTGACTTGTAAAATATGTTCAACTCAGGCCACATCTCAAAAATCATATTTTCAATTAAATGATTCAATAAGGGAAATTCATTACACAACTTTACATCAACTCCTCAACAGTCACCCAATAGCTAAATGAACACACCTGGGCACTGCAGAAAAAAAAAAAAAAAAAAAAAAAAAAACTGATTGCTGGCATTTTACCAAAAATGTCATCAGCTTACGTTAAAATCTGTGTCATTACAATTTAAAAATTTCACTAATATAAAGATCCTAAATATGGTTTGGTTTGCAAAGCTGTAACTCAACCAACTGTGAGACCTCTGCAACATTTATTTGGTAAATGCAAAAAGTGGAGAAGATTGGTCGTAAAGCACATCATCACATAAACGCCTCACACCAACTATCAAATGCAGTGCTGGAACATCTGGTTCGCAGAGAGTCTTCTGCAGTTACTGCAGCACATTCGAGTGCAGGGCTGGTTGTGAATGCAGCTAATTGATTTCTGGTCAAAGGTAAGGCCATCTGTGACAACTAACGCTATGCCAGTGCTGGCTCATGCAACAAGTCCAATGTAGCCCATCAGATAAAGAATCAACATTTTCCAATGGTCTAGTGCAGGGGTCACCAACTCCAGTCCTCGAGGGCTACCATCCTGCAACTTTTAGATGCGTCTCTGCTCAAACACACCTGGATCAAATAAACTCCTCGTTTCCAGCCCATTGCAGAGAGGAATGAATGCTGGTGAGGGAATTCAGACATTTTGGAGCAGAGGTGAATCTAAAAGTTGCAGGATGGTAGCCTTTGAGGACTGGAGTTGGTGACCCCTGTTCTAGTCAAAGTCCAAAATTCAAAACAACTGAAAACCTGTTAGGAATCTAGAGAAACCTCAATGTAAGTCATACTAAAAATAAATAAATAAATAAATAAATAAATAAAAAATAAACTAGCTGAAGTACTGGAAACGAATTTACAAGGAGACAATCTCAAGATAGTCAAGTCATACAGAGCAAATATTTCCAGTTTCAGGCTGATAGAGGGGGACCTTCAGTCCACTGGGTCATAGAGTTTACTTTGTTTCTCTAGTCACAAGTTTAGATTTGGGCCTGGCTTGTTAAATAATGCAGTGACGAATTTAAAAGTAAGATTGTATCCGAATTTAAATGTTCCCCATCTCAAAGGCATGGTCGCCTAATTAGCTGGTTAAACTTCGCACTAGTTTGACATGCGTTGTTCCAAAGGTTATTGGATGTTCCTTTAGCCAGAAAGGAAGACATTTCTAAAGAGTTGGGGACAAGCCATTTTGCAGCATAAACAGATGTGCAGCCATTTATTACAGATCAAAGCAAATGAGAAAACAATGGACCTCTGACAAAGAGGACAAGGAGGGCGACCCCATTTTGTACATTAGCGGTTTTGGTTGTACAATACCAGACTTTATCAAGGTAATAAATTGAATCATTCTTCGTGAGATGTTTTGCACTGACGACATCAATTTGTATCAGTCACAGGAACATTTCATATCTGCTTTGACAAACAGTTTAATGTCATTTTCTATTATCTCATAGTCTTGATAAATGCCATAATGTAATGCCAATAAACATGTCATTTGGTCTGTATGGGGATAACAACCACAGTAAATAAAAGTCTGATATTCTGCAGGGTTTCCCCCAGAAAACCTGCTAAGCCCAGTGTACAAGTCATACAGCAGTTCACTCTGTTTCTGTGTTAAAAATGGAAAACAAGGTGACTAATAATACACTTGGGGAAACCCCGAGTTCGTCTAGAGTTAAGAACATAATTGTTTGAAATGTGACTGTTTCATGCATACAGGCAGTTATTGAATTGTTTATGTTAAATGCATCAAAATATTTAGCAGGATATGAAACAATTTATCTTGAGGATAAAATATTTACGTCATGATATTGGCATAGCTAAGTGATGTGAGACACAGTTATGTGTGAGACATAATTATGAGGGAAAATGTTTCTTTTTTTTTGTTGTTTTTTTTTTTTCCCCCAGAAATGGGCTTCCACAATCTATACCAAAGAGGGATTCTAAAATTTGTTTTTTTTTTTTGTTTTTTTTTTGAGAAACAAATACAAACCTTTTCACCCAACCATAAAGGTCATAAGGTTCCTCTAGACAATGCAATGTCTAGTTCAGTTATTACTTAACTTCACAATAAAAGCCCAACATTTTCTGTTGCATCACCCTGACAAAGCATACAAATATCTGGACAGTTATCACACTTGTCTTCAACATTGGTAATTCTCTGCTTAAAGCTGTAAGACAAACCAAATTTCACAATACATTTAAGTTACTTATCATTTAAGAAATGATATTTTATAAAACATGTTCATTTGCTTTAATACCTGATATTTTAGAGGTTGAAGCAACCAAAACACACGAATACGTGTTTCATGTGTTTTGGTTAAAGTAGTAAAACTTGAAAGTAAAATTCTTTCATAGAAAATATTTCAATGCCAGGAATAATTAAAAAAAAATATTTAAGGAGGAACAGATGCACTAAGACACAACAATAAGCATCTCAAGTAAAAGACCCTAAAGCATTGGCTGGATAAAGTCAAACTAGCAGCTATGTGCAAGTACATTTTCAGAAACTCTTAAGATTTAAGTGGAGGTTTAATTGGCAGCTGTGTGGTACATGCTGGACATTATAAAAGACACATAACCACTTTGTCTGGCACCCAGACTAAAAACAACAAAATAAAGGGGAAAAAAGGAAGAAATGCTCTAGTTCACAAGCTTTACAGAAAGAGAGCGTTTCATTTCCTCATGAAATCTGCTCGCTCAGAGCACCAAAACTGACAAAGCGCCTCACTATTCCTGAAATTTTAAACATTGCAGGTTTTAGCGATCCCCACCCAACAGGCTCCCCACCTCCCCCGCTGCTCTGGTAACACTGCTAACATAGTGCTACCCTCAGCCTGTTCATTTCAATGGGCTGCTGACATGTCACTATTCTCTGGGACCTGAGCCCAGAATGTTCCACAGGGACAGAGATTCCTTAGGGACAGAGATTAGGTCCTGATCACCGATCAGGGCTGCGGATGCTCCCAGTCAGAGCCAACCAGCAACAGAGTGGGGATCAGCTTGACAAGGCTCCTCTCTGCTGCCAAGCTCACCGGTCTGAAACTAACCCTGTCTAAAACATGTTGCCCATTTAACCAACACTTGCTCTCTGACTGCATATTCCTGTTATTTTGGAAAAGCGGCAAAAAAAAGGGAAATCTTGAACCTCAATGATTTTTCTATAACGATGGTAGAGAAAAAAAACAATGACTTCAATCATCCCTTTAAGACCCCAACAACAAACAAACAAAAACAGCCAAAAATCATTACATTTATGGAAGTCCCTTTTTTGTTTTAATTGGAAACAGGGAAAGGAATGGCCAGATTTAATTAGATATACGAGCTGAAATTATCAGCCATTTATTTTGCGTCGCTGCCACATTGAGATGTTCAACTTGTCTCAGATTAAAGAAGTGGAAGGAGCAGTCTGCACTCTACAAGGATGAAATGACAGTGTCTACATGTTCAGTGGGCATTCATCATTGCTGATTATATCTTTCCGCTCTGGCCCTTTAACGTAGCTGAGATTATGAGCCCAAGTAACAGATGTTGGCTTTATTGGACCCCGTTATTGGTGCTTTTACAGGAGCTGGCTCTTCAACACTACGAAGACATCCTTTGAAGCTTTTCATGTCTTTTACCGATGAATGCATCAGTATGTTTGATCTTGTGCTTCAAATAGAGGCATTACTTTAAGATGTATGCACCCTTTGTTCGCTGCAAGAGTAAGATCAGTTTATGATCACACCTCACAAGCTGCTTCTAAAGTGACATTTACAAAACAGAAACAAGGTAATTTACAAAAAGCATAATTTTTTTTATTATTTTTACAGTTCTAAGCACTTTTTTTAAGGAAATGGGTGATGCTTTGAAAATATATATATTGAAAGGTGAAAAAAAGTGAGAAAAAATATTTTAACAGGATACACCAGAAAACTTAAACAAACAGCATCATACACTCTTTTGCCACTTTATTAGGAATACCATGTTTGTGCTACTTTGGCACCCATTTTGCATTTAAACTTCTTGTATTTAAGGTGCATAGATTCAACTAGGTGTTAAAAATGCTCTCTTAGGGATTCTGGTTGATTTTGGCAAGAGAGCCCCATGCAGATTTGTCCACGTTGTTCAACTCCGATTACATCACATCCTCAAAAATGCTCTGTTGAACTGAGATCTGGTGAGGGCGTAGGTCCTTTAAGTACAGCGACCTTCCTGTCATGTTCAAAAAAGCTGTTTGAGAAGATGTGATCTTAATGATCTGGTGCATTATCCTGCTGGAAGCCACAGTCAGACAATGGGTACACTGCGATCTTAAAAGGGATGATCACAGTCAGCATCAATTACTTGCGTAGGATGTGGTGCATAAACAATATCTGACTGGTACCAACTTACCAGTGTTGTGCATTCAGAGATGGTATTCTGGATACTTTCCCATGGTAGACATTCGAGGGTATCTTAACACTTATCCGTACGACGTGCCACCCATTCACCCCGAACTTGGATCTTTAGTCTCCAGTCGAGCTCCCAGCGCCACGCCCACACAGCTGTACTAGCAGCAATTAGCAAACACCGGCAACACGCCTAAGAACGTTTGTAAATGTCATCAATGGAGAAGAATTGTTGTGATGACGGGTAGGAGGATCTTAAAGAGACTGACACCAGTTTCAAAGCATCATATCGTTATGAATCTAAGTCAGTTTACCTTTAAGTTGTTTTTGATACAACATTCTCAGATTAATTGAAAGTAACCTAGCTATTTGATTGTTCTATAAAACCGCACTATGTGCCTGGAAAATGCATAACTGTTCTCTTTTGTCACTTTTGAGCGTTTAAAGCAGGGGTCTCAAACTGCATTTCTCAAGAGCCAGAGTCCT